TACTTAAATGAACCACATAAATGTCACGTTAGTGTAGCCTATATAATGTGTAAAGTTTAGTATACTCTAATCCCTTATAGTCATGGCACACGACAAGACACATTTGGCACGTAATGCCATTTGAATACAAGAAGGGAAACCAATGCTTCTGTAGCCACAGAATATCAAAGAAGTTTATGGAAATGTTTTGAACGTTTGTAAGTGTCAACGATGGTTCAGCAAATTTTGTTCGGGTGACTTTAGCCTTAAAAACTGTGATGGCAAGGGCCGACATATTGATACTCTGAAAATGCTTGTTAAGTCTAATCCAAAGCAACACACTCGTGAAGTGGCCCTGAAATTGCATGTTTCTCATGAAACAGTATGTAAACATCTATGGAATATGGGAATACTCCTTAAAGGAGGTGTTTGGGTGCCTCACGAACTCTCTGATGATCATCGTTTCCAACATGGGAATGTTGCTTCGTCTATTCTAGCACATAAACCATTTTTAGACAGAATTGTCACTGGTAATGAAAAATGGATTCTCTATGCAAATATTAAATGCCAAAAACAATGGCTTAGTTCTAGACAAAAACCACTTCCAACCCCAAAACTTGGACTCCATCCACAGAAAGTGATGCTTTGCATTTGGTGGGATATCAAAGGAGTAATTCATTTCGAACATTTCAATCCACAGAGATCTATAGTCAGCAACAGGAACATTTAAACAAGCCCTTTATCAGAAATGCCCTTCCCTCGTCACTTGGAAAGGTGTTCTTCTCCACGACAATGCACGTCCATATGTGGCATGTTTGACATAACACAAAATTATGGAGTTGGGTTGGGAAGTTCTCCCCACCCACCATATTCTCTAGATTACCATCTTTTTGTTCACTGCAACACCATCTTAATGGGAAAACGTATGCAAATGTGGAAGATGTTAAAGAGGTCATCGACATGTTTTTTGCTTCAAAACCAAGTGGTTTTTTAATCACGGCATTAACAACCTGATTGTAAGATGGAAAAGCATCATCGATAAGAATTGAGACTATTTCATTTAATAAATGTTTTGTTTTGATATACAAGTTGTTCGGGTTTTTTCATTTAAAAAAAGCGAAATTAATTTCTTGACAACCTAATAAATTCTGAAAGTATGTGGGTTACTATCATTATTGTTTTGTGATTTACAAGTTTTTTATCTGAATAAATTCTGAAAGTATGTGAGTTATTATCATTATTATTTTGTGATTTAAAAGTTTTTGTATCCTACATAATTATTAATATCATGAAAATAAATACTTCCTTAGACTTGATATATCTATGTTACCAGTTTGATCAGCTTAGAGTAGAATATAAAATAACAGGTAATACAGAAACACAGGTTGATGTTAATTTCCAAACCTTACTTATAATGTAATGTACCTACATCAAATTTACATGCAATGAAAATAGCTGTAGCTCCCACGAGTTGAAGTGATGCCTTTGGAACAGGATTGTTCATAAGGTAGTGATCGACAAGCTTTACTGCAAGGTACAAAGTCTCATGGTTCAATTCAAAAGATTCTTGAACTTCCACCATCCAGTCCACCAGGATAGCTCTCATAGACTTGGATATTTCAGGCTGCTTTCTCAGGTACTTTTCAACAGGGAACATCAACTGTTGTAAAAAATTCACACCCGATAGCATGTTACACAGATTAGTAATTGTTGCGTGTTGTAGAAAAGTTAGTAAATACAAAATTACTGTATTATAAAACTAAGCTTCTTCTTAGGACTATGAACAACACACATTATCTTGGATCAACTTGTACACAACTCCTCAGGACTATGAACAACACACATTATCTTGGATCAACTTGTACACAACTCCTCAGGACTATGAACAACACACATTATCTTGGATCAACTCATACACAACTCCTGAGGACTATGAACAACACACATTATCTTGGATCAACTTGTATACAACTCCTCAGGACTATGAACAACACACATTATCTTGGATCAACTTGTATACAACTCCTCAGGACTATGAACAACACACACATTATCTTGAATCAACTTGTATACGACTCCTGAGGACTATGAACAACACACATTATCTTGGATCAACTTGTATACAACCTCTCAGGACTATGAACAACACACATTATCTTGGATCAACTTGTATACAACTCTCAGGACTATGAACAACACACATTATCTTGGATCAACTTGTATACAACCTCTCAGGACTATGAACAACACACATTATCTTGGATGAACTTGTACACAACTGATCAGGACTATGAACAACACACATTATCTTGGATCAACTTGT